ATTTGCAGAGAAAATAATCAGTTTTACATTTAACAAATCATACATTTTGTTTCATCTCTATGATTTCAACCCCCTCTGTGTAACAAGCTATCTCACTTCTTTATAGTTCTTATTTCTCCTTTCCATTCTTTCTCAGCTTTGTCTTTAGATAAATGCTTGCCTTTGATCTTGAATGTTTGACTATTCTATGATGAGCATACCTTGTTGTCCCCCTAATATGCCTACCTATCTACTGCTTGGCTGAAAATTGGGCCACAAAGGTGAGTTCCATTCCAAACCTGAAAGTTGACCAAGGGCCACAGACTTGAATTCCACCAGTATCATTTTGACCAGTCTTTCTTTCTTTCTTCTTTTTTTAACATTCTATTGTGAATTGAGTGGAGGTTAACAGACATGATCATCATCTTTATTTTCAACCAAGCATATATTTTGCTTCATCTCAATGATTACACTCCCCTCCTTGCAACAGTTATCCTGCTTCCTCCTTGTGGCTTCCCTTTTATGTCTTATTTTTTTACAAATCAACAATGCAAAAATTTTTGATGCACATATACATATCAAAACATATGTATTTATTTAAATGTACAAAAGACATATTTTGCAAGCCTGCCTCCTGCCCGTAGGCATAAAGCCTGTCTCAGTCCATGGGCCTAGAGTCTACAGCCGCTCTGTCTCCCCATGCAGTTGCCTCTGTTACTGTCTCTGCTGTTACCACTTTTATAGGTGAGATCTGACACTCTGCTCATGTTTTTTCTTTTTGATGGTCCTGGAATCCTCTGTTCCTGAAATGAAAGATTAACTACTACCTCCTTTTGGTTATAAATCTTCTACAATTACAATTACAGTTGTGACAATCACAATTAATTCTTCTAACAATCATAAAATCCAATGAGCTTCATCCCTCATTTCCTTTCACCAGATCCATCTAGAAAAGAAGAAAACTATTCAGTGGGATTCTACATTACCCCCTTTGTTCTGAAACTAAGCACACTCATGAAAGTTTGTAATCCCGTCACATCATGCCTTTATAGACCCCCCACCATTTTTGATACCTAATGTCTACATTGCCTAGCCCTACCAACCCAGTGCTGAGAAAGCAAGCTTGATCCTTGATATGAAGAATCCTTCTATTTTGGTTGAAATTTGAACAACTGCATCCATAAGAAAAAGTCTAGTTCATTAAATGGTACCAGTTTACACATGTGCACAGTATCAAGTATCTTTATCTTCATCTAGTTGAGTTCCGGTCAGCTAGCCATCAAAGTTAGGTCAAATGGGTACTAGCTGCAAGTTTGAGAGGTCACACATGTCACTCTGCGCTTCAGACCAGTTGGCAGCTTTACTCTCAGCTCTAACCCCTGGTGGCTAGGTCAGTGTCCATGGAATTGAGAGTTCATATATCTCCCTAAACTTCAGACCAGCCAGCCCATCCTCTTCTTTCTCTACTTTCAAGGTCAACTGATGCCATTGGAACATGGCCAAACTCAGTTCATGTCTTCATTGTTGCATTTCCCCTATTTTCACTTTTAAGTAGACCAGTGACCAGTCTTTCTTATAATTTTGAGTTTTGTTCACATTGTCTCTTAGTCTATCTCGGACCTTCTAATGCCTTCCCTTTCAGAGCAGTTGTAGTGGTGGCCTGAGAAGATGGATGTTTAGGTGTTCCATTTATCCATTGGTCCAATTGATCCCATCCATCTGGTTAAAATTTTTAGTTTAAATTTTAAATGCTATCTATGATGTCTCTGTTTTTAAGTCCAAATTACCCAAAATAGGAATATAAAAAGATTTCTAAGCAGTCAATAAATTGACTTTTTTTTTTTTTTTTTTCCTTTTGGGATCATGCTTAGAGAAAGAGGAAGAAAGATATGAAGTAGAGGGATTTTGTGGAATAGATATGCTGCCTAGATCTGTCTGTATACATGCTTTCTCTATATGGCAGCTCCTAAGGAAGGAGCTAGACAGAATTTGTAGCATATAAATTTGATCTTAAGTTAGAGATTAAAAAAGTAATAATATCTGTTGTTAGGTGTCATTGAGTTGGTTCCAACTTATGGTGACCCTATACACAAGAGAATAAAACATTACCTTTTTCTTTGTGATCTTCAGTTTTTGCTACACGTAAGCCCATTGCTGCTGCCACTGTGCCAATTCATCTTGTGGGGAGTCTTACTATTTTCACTGACCCTCCACTTTACCAAGCATGAAATGTCCTTCTCTAGGGACTGGTCACTCTTGATAACATGTTTGAAGTATGAGAGACATATCATCCTGGCTTCTAAGTAGCATTTTGGTTTTATTTCTTCCGAAACAGATTTGTTTGTTCTTCTGACAGTCTATGGTACTTTCAAAATTCTTCTCCAACACCATAACTCAAGCACATCACTTCTATAGTCTTCCTTAGTCACTGTCCAACTTTCATGTACATATGAGGCTATTGAAAATACCATGGCTTGGGTCAGACACATGTTAGTTCTCAAACTGACATCTTTGCTCTGCAACACAATGTAGCAAATAAAGAGGTTTTGTTTAGCAAATTTGCCTAGTGCAATACATTGTGTGATTTTTTGGTTGCTGTTTCCATGAGTGTTGATTGTATATCCAAGTAAAATGAAGTCTTTCAATCTTTTCTCTGTTTATCATGATGTTATTTATTGCGTCCTTTGTGAAGATTTTGTTTTCTTTACATTAAGATTCGATCAATACTGAAGGTTGTAGTCTGTAATCGTCATCAGTGTTTAAAGTCATCTTCATTTCCAGCAAACAAAGTTGTATCATCTGCATATTGTAGGTTGTTAATGTGTCTACCTCCAATCCGGATGCCATATTATTCTTCATGTAATCCATTTTCTCAGATTATTTTCTCAGCATACAGACTGAATAAGCATGGTGGAAGAATGCAACACTCAGGCACACCTTTCCTGATTTTAAACTGTTCAGCAGTTCTCTCTTTCTGTTTGAAAGACTGACTCCTGTCTAGTATACAGGTTCTTCAAAAGCACAATTAAGTGTTCTGGAATACCCAGTCTTCACAATGTTATCCACAGTTTGTCATTATCCACCTAGTGAAAAGCCTTTGCATAGTCAGTCATTCACAAGTAAACATCTTTATAGCATTCTCTGCTTTCAGACAAGATCCATCTGATGTCAGCAATGATACCTTGAGTTCCACAGCCTTGAATTCTCCTTAAATTTCTGGCTGCTCTCTATGTGCTGTTGCAGTCATTTTAAAATTTCTTCAGTAAAATTTTACTTGTGTAGGAAATTAATTATATTATTCAATGACTTCCACACTCTGTTGGGTCACTTCTCTTTGGAATGGATGCAAATACGTATCTCTTTCAATCACTGGCCAGGTAGCTATCTAACAAATTTCTTAGTATAGATGAGTGAGAGAGTAATTGTTGAAAGATGTCAGTTTGCATTCTATAAATACTTGGAGCTTTGTTTGTTTGTTGTTGTTGTTTTTTAGCCAATACCTTCAGTGCAGCTTGGACTTCTTCCTTCAGTACCATCAGTTCTCGATCATATGCTGCCTCTTGAAATGGTTGAACATTAACTATTCCTTTTTTGTACAGTGACTCAGTGTATACCTTCCATCCTCTTTGGATGCTTTCTTAATCATTTAATATTTTGTCCATAGAATCCTTCAAAACTGCATTTCAAGGCTTAAATTTTTCTTCCATTCTTTCAGCTTGAGAGATGCTGAGCATGTTCTTTGATTTTGGTTTTCGAATTCCAGGTCTTTGTACATTTTATGATTATACTTGACTTTATCTTCTCGAGCTACCCTTTGAAATGTTCAGTTCAGTTCTTTTACTTACTCATTTCTGCCATTTGCTTTAGCACCTCTACACTGGAGACCAAATCTCAAGAGTCTCTTCTAACATCCATTTTGGTCTTCTCTTCTTTTCCTGTCTTTTTACTGACCTTTTGATTTCTTCCTATATTATGTTTGCTTTCCTCCCATTACTTTCTGTTCTTTGATCATTAGTGTCTAATTTAGCAATTCTGTTCTTGAGATGGTCTCTAAATTCAGATGGAATATAGTCAAGGTCACATTTTGGTTCTTGTGGAGTTGTTTTAGTTTTCTTCAGCTTCAGCCTGAATTTGCATATAAGCAATTGATGGTCTGTTCTATAGTTTTCCCCTGGCCTTGTTTGTCTAATGATATTGAGCTTTTATACTGTCTTTTCCTATAGATGTATTCCATTTGATTCTTGTGTATTCCATTTGATGAGGTTTATATGCATAGTTGCCTATTATGTTGCTTAAAGAAGGTATTTGCAATGAATAAGCCATTGGTTTTGCAAAATTCTATAATGTGCTCTCCAGCATAATTTCTGTCACCAAGTTCGTGTTACCCACTACTGATTCTTTGTCTTTGCTTCCACCCATCATGTTGCAATCACCAATAGTTTTTAATACATCTTGACTGCATGCTTTATCAGTTTCAGACTGAGGAAGTTGGTAGAATTCTTTAATTTTATCATCACTGGCTTTAATGGTTGGTCATAATTTAATGGCTCTTAACTAAACAATGGAGTCCTGGTATGGCACTGTGGACTAATGTATCAGACTGCAAAGTCGTTTGAACTGCAAGGTTGGCGGTTCAATCTCACCAGCTGCTCTTTGGAAACCCTATACAGGGTCGACTAAACAGCACTTCACAACAAAAACAATTAAACGCTATTAACTATATAATATCTAATTGTATTAACTAAATAATATCTAGTTTTTGCTAAAAGCACTACTATGCTTTTATTTATATTCTGATTTATTTATATTTTAGAGAGTTTTTCAGCTTTGAATGGTTGGATGGGAAAAGTGCAGGGTCAGAGTTTCCCATGGTTTTTTCCCCCTGACCTTTATATTTTAATGGCACTGTCTTCACAGAGTTACATGTAAATAATTTCTAATACTATTTAAGGGAACAATAATAGGCACAGATATATGATACTACCTTTTCTCTTTTTAAAGATCAATTTATTTCAGACAGAATGGTTGATCAGCTGCAAGGAACATGGAAATCTGTGTCTTGTGAAAATTTTGAGGAATATATGAAAGAACTGGGTGAGTTCTTCTTCTTAGCACATCTTATCCAGTGAAAGTGGGACCACTGATAGCACAGAACTTGGTCTATAAGAAGTCAGATTAATTATGAACCCACCTGATTTTTTTTTTTTTTTACTTAGAAACTATCAATCAGGCACATATGGTAAACATGACTCTATGCAAATCTATGTGG